TGGGAGAGCCAGACAAGGAACTCCAGTGACGCGGAGCTTCATGCAGGACTTCTCATGTTCAAAGAACAACCGGCTCTCAAGAAAACGCTGTGCGCCTGAGCTGTGCTCCAGAAGGATGGATGCAGGAAAGTAAGGAAGGGACCCAGCTCCCAAGTGAGGCAGGGCCTGACCCCGAGGAGAGTTGTGCATCCAGACACTGATGTAGCGGGACCCCAGTGGAAGTCATACAGTAGTGTTTGCCGCAAAGAGGGATCGTGTGTCTTTAAACAGCGGAGGCTGGTGTCTTTGGAAGGTGCTAGGTCAAACGGCCAGGGACAGGTGTGTTCAGAGCCAGGGCAGGGTAGAGATGCAGGTACGTTAAAGAAATTGAGAAAGGGGAGGGGCCGGCATGAGAGTCCTGTACTTCCACTGAGGGTCCATCAACAGGAGTAGGAAAGAGAAGCAATAAGGTGGGGAAGGAAAACGACATACAGGTGGGTGTGTTGGGGTGGGTGTGACAAAGTTTTACATCCCAGGTGCTGTTAGCCTGGAGCTGGTGGAGATGGTGGTGTTATCTGGGTCCCTCTCTCTGGCCCGGTCTGGTCAGGATGTCTTTAGGATTAGGATGACGAAGGCCCGGCCTCCCAGGAGACGGTGGGGATGGCAGCCATTATGGTGAAGCTCACTCCTTCCCCTTCTGGTGTCTTAGTCAGCCAATGTAGCAATCCATCGACCCCCCCAAAGCCTCTTGGTTCAAGGACCCCCGAAGGGGAGAGATGGGCAGAACAACCTGTCCTCTCGTTCTTTTGGCCACAGCTTAGGCCTAGTTTTCGCCATACCAGTTTTGGCTCACTGATTTCCGTTCCCTCACTTTTCTGGCTCACCGGGCACGATCTTAACAATGTCCTTGAGTTCTATCCAGCGGCCTGTTTGCTGGGACTAGGTCAGTCTGTCTGTCTTGCTTTCGTGCCTTTTCCCATCAACATTTGCTCTCCTAGGTTACCCTTATAGTGACGTTTTTGTGACCTTTCACGCACGTTTTACAGTTGAGCTGGCAATTAGGGTAATTTGTTGCTGCCTAGGCCAGTGTCCTTCGTTCCTGTGAGGCTGGGCTGGGTTTGTCCCATACCTGCCCTGATGAGGTGTGAACTGCCCCTCTGCTCCTGGACAGTTTTGCCTGGGCTTGTTTTAAGCCATGAGGACACATTTTCAGTCTCATAACTATACACATGAAATTACAACCTATATCATTACTGTATCAACAATGCTCAGTACATCATGAGCCTTCCGAAGACACCCGACATGACAAACTTTGCATTGGACACCACACAATCATATTATAAGGATGAACATGGGGGTGCAGGGTGTTCCCCCGAGGTACAGAGTGTCACAGTGATTCAATTCAATTTATTTGACAGTAAACCTGGATGTTCTAAGTGCCACAGGTGGTTGTATTGATGGGGCCTTCCTGCATCCTAGGAGCTGTCGTGGGGGGAAGTTGGGAGTTTTGGTAGCTAGTATGGGGCCAGTAGGGCACCGAGGGTGATATGCCAGGCCCTGTGGGCGCCATGGAAACCTGGGTACCTTTGCTAAAATCATCAGCAATGAAGGCTCCAGGGGTTGGACTGGGCCACCTTGGGGGCATGGCCAGCGCCCAGCCCACGCAGAATGTATGTGCGTTGTGTAGATGGCTGTAGTGTCACAGACCCCATCAGCGCCCGCCCCTCCTACCTGCATGGCTCCAGGAGCTGGGGGCAGCGCATAGCCATCAGCTTGTTCCAAGGGGGTGGGATGGTGAACGAGGGGGAGACTAATCAATACGTTAAGTTGCTTTAAAAAAAATCAGATGAAGTTGTGAATCAGGAAATTTACTTTTACCAGGGTAAAGCAGCAACCTCCTCCTCCTATTTCTCTCCTTCCTGCGTGATCACGGTCGCCGCTGAGAAACTGACCCCGGTAGCGTACGAATGGCCCATGTGCTGGGGGGGGATGTACAGTGCGCTGCGAAGCAGATGCTCCCTTAAATGCTGCTCGTCGACAGAAGGCCCAATCCTGAGGGGTGCTGAGCTCTCAAAACTACTGTTGATGTTCCTGGGAGCTGCAAAGGCCCCGCGCCGCTCAGGATTTGGCCTGCTGTTTGCAAAGCGCGTTGGGATTCTCTGGGAGGAAGATGCTTTATTAAACGCATGATATGACACAATCTGAATGCTCCAGAAGGCTTTGAACATGATTAAGAGCTACGGGCTGGAAAGGCAGCTTGAGAGGCCAAGTTACATGAGGACAGTTCTAATACAATTAAGTAGCAAAAGCGCCATAAACAGAGGCAGACAGGGGTACCGAAAGCACTTTCCCTGTTAACCACTAGAGGGAGCTGTTATATTAATTAAGTCTCTATTTGCTACTGGGGATGGAGAGTTTATTTTGCTCCCAGGTTACTAGACAGGAACCAGTAGGAGGCTGAATTTGATACATTTTGCTGGGCTGTGAAAGGTCATTAGCGTTTCCGAGTATTGCATGGAAAGGGACTGTCTGAGAGTGAGGCCAAGGAAAGAATCTATCTTACCATGATCGACTCCTCTCTCCTTCTATGTGCTCTCACAGCACTTGTGTATGCAAACCCTAGATGCCGGCTGGAGCTTGGGATTTTAGTATTTGTTTTAAACCGTCTTTCTGGAAAGGGATACCAAGTTCAGATGCCCAAAGGGTTACAAATGCCGCTGGCGTGTTCCCTGAGCACCGCGCCGGATTCCTCCTCGTTTATACACAGCAGGAAAGAAAGAGGAGCTCGGATCCGTCTTGTGCAGAGGTGCTGTCGGGTTCAGATCCGCATTTCTTACTAGTCTAATCTCTGTGCTACAGAAAACTCTCTGACTGTTTGGGGCCGGGTGATCCTCTTTGGATACCCGTTCAGACGCTGGGCATGTAAACTGCCCCTCATTTGCATGCAGAGAAACTCTCAGGACATTCTTCCTCCTCACGCTAATGAGTGCAGCCGGCCGCTCGGGGGGACACTGGAGCCATGTGCAACCCTGTGTGTGATGAGAATACAATCTAGCACCCCCCGCAGCCCTCGCTCACAGGGCCACTGCTCATGTCAGTTCTCAGAGGTGACTCAGCGACTGGCCTGAAGCCGAGGGGATGAGGGTTTCACTGGGGTTCGTGAGAGGAGCATCAGGGCTAATGAACCTGTGTTGGTTTCAAGTCGTATCCTTCATCCAAATCTGCTGTTCGCTATGACAATGAATCATGCAGGGCCAGACGGTGCCTAGCCCTTGGATGGGGGCGTGGAGGGGGTGGGCGGTGG